GAGGATTTTTCGTTTTCTTCTTGTGTGAGTTCGAATCGCTCGTCGCCAATTTGTTGTGGACGACGAGGGAAAAACTTTTTGTTGTTTGTTCTTCCCATGTGAGTTCGAATCGCTCGTCGGCAATTTGTTGTGGATTCCGAGATGAAATCCGGTCTCAAACGCAGGAATGAAATATATCGAATAAATGTATTGATGCAATAATACAATTGGTAATATGGTTAGTAGATCCAGAAATGCGCTTAGCAGCAATAATAATATATATACAGTCTGGGAAATTCAGTATCGAAGTATAACTTCCTTCTGAGTCTACGTGCTCGCAACTGTGACTCCTACAAAGCGGTTATCTCGCACTCTCACTCTCTCACTGCCGGTTATTCACCGGCAGCAGTACAAGTACACACTGGGCGAGTCCACTTGTATAAAAAGGGGTGAACCCCTTAACAGAAATATAGACAGATTATAAGATATGATGTACTGTTTTATATATTTATTCATATACATTTACGGATGCGAACACTTAAGCCATGATTGTTTTTTTAAATAAATAAAAAACATGACTGTTTTTGTTATATGCGTATTGCTTCAGTAACCCCGTCAATTTTTATTATTCGATTTTGCTAGTATTTGAGAATGATTTGACAAGGAATATTCGTAATTTAGAAAAGACTCTCATTAAAATTACTGGACATAAAATGTCTGTCGTTCTTAATGGTTTCCCTTAAAGATGATTTGCTGCCTAAATACAGGTATATAGTAAAAATGAAAGGAGATATTAGGTAATGGGATCTTCCGCAGACAGACATATGTTGCCTCGTCCTGTGTTATATAAACAGGTGTGTGGCCAGTGTATTTCGCTATTTGTATCTCGTTGGCACCTCGGCGTGGTGTAATGGTTAGCAAGCTTGTCTCGCTAGATCAATTACGACTGAAAAGTGAGTTCGATCCTCACCAGGTACCCAATACTTTCGGCCTTGTGCCACATCTAAGCTACGCTTAGAAAATAACTGGGCACCTCGAGGTGGTGTAATGGTTAGCAAGCTTGTCTCTATAGAACAATTACGACTGAGTAGTGAGTTCGATCCTCACTGGGTGTCCCATACTTTCGGCCTTGTGCTACATCCGAGCTACGCTTGGAAAATCACTATTTGTATCTCGTTAGTACAAGAATAAAGTAATTGAGAATTACGACTATTATTTCTGTTATGTTTTTTTTTACATAACGATATAAACAGGATCTGCAGAATACATGGAACAGTCTTAGGAAAATAAGGCATGACATCTGCATTAGGCGGAACTCTTGATTTCATTGCTCAACTCAACAATAAATGATAGAGCTAAAAAGGGAAACTATCGTGCTTCGGAGGGAGAAAAGCCCTAATTTGGCGCAAACGTCTAACACAAAAAAGACTGTCTTGTCATTGAACCAAACGCAACGGACAACCCTTGACGCTTGGCTCGGTATAAAGAGACGTGTAAACTACCAAGCCACTCAAACTAAGCAACGAGTTGAGAACAACATGCTTGCCTGAAGTCAACAGCTTCCTTTTTGAACTTATAGGGGTTGAAACCTGTTATACCGGAACGTACCTATTCTATTGGAAATAGACTCTCCCACAGATAAGTAGTAGTAGTAGCAGTCGTCAGTGGAGCTCAGTGAGTTGTTGGAGTCAGTCGATGTCGGACATTAAAGTATGAGCCCCACAACTAGATTGCTGCATCATTAACTATTATTTCAAGTTCCTAACGTTTTGTACGTCGAACCTAATTTAGGACCGACTTAGTGAAATACAAGCCTCCACTGTGAAAACTACTCTACAACAAAACCTTAAATTCGGCTATGGAGGAAAAGCTTTAGTTACACATCCGATTCGTTCCGGTAAAGCGCTTCCACAAGAAAGATAACCGGCAGACCTTTCTTTCCATGCATCAGGCGGAAAGGTGACCCAATCACTCATTTTTTAAACAAAGCTACGAGATCAAGCCAAATTTTGCTCGTTCACATTTGATTGCCCCAACACAGAAGGCTGTGGTCAGTGATTCAATTACTCGGGCGAGGCGACTTCATACTGGTCAGATGACTGCACGACTCACCAACATGAAGCACAAGAGTCGAGTTTTGGCGAGGCTGCAAACCTCACCACACTCGAGCAGAAGTTCGACTGACTCGTCAGCTTGGAAACGACGGAGAAACCAGTGCAGAAATACTAAATGACCGTTAACTTCGTCCTATCTGCATATATCTGGCCCGAGCCTCGTACGCTTCAACAACCCCGAAGAAATTCGCCAGATAATAATCCTGTAGTTTTTTTTGTTTTGTTTTTTTAAGCATTACGCCACGAGCAAGGCGTGAAGCCACTAGGATGCAGGGGGTTGCAGAAGATTTGGAGCGAGAGCAGATAGGAGAGATAGAAGAAAGGATGAAGAGAAGGATAGTGGGTAGATCAAGGTAACTGGAGATGTCGATTGTCATCACATTTGAATAGTTGGAGATTATAGCTCTCAGGGAAACAGTAATTGGGAAGGGTGTTCCACAGGCGAGAGGTGCGAGGTATGAAGCTATTGGAGTAGAAGAGACGGCTACATTTAAAAGTTTCTATAGTGTAAGGGTGGGAGTGGGATGCCAGCCTCTTGAATTCATGATGTCTGGGGATGACACGGAGTTTGCGGGATGACAGTCCAGCCAGGTGGATCGATTAGTGGTAGAGACTACCCAACAGCTAAACTGATTCTAAATTTGTTATAAGTGTGCCATACGCCGAGGTATCAGAAGTGTTTAGTATTTATTAATCCAACATTCTCCATTATTATGATAGATTCAGGGTAGGTGTCATCACTGCTTTCATTCCAATTCCAGTTCATAGGTGGTTTTTGGAAAGTTTTGAGTCTTATTTCTTGCAATACTTGATAGAGGATGCTGTTTTTTTCTATTCAAGGTCATTACTATCGCAAATATGAACACCTATATCATCAGCATACAAAATCATCATTAGTACATTGTCCTCGGGAAGGAAAGCAGGATCGTTATCTTCAAATGGTAGACTCGGTGTGGAATGTTTGAATGGTTCGTGCTTATCTCACAACATCTGTGTTTATAAGTGTGCAGGGCTTGGTCTTGGAAGAGATTAAATTAGGTACCTCCACGAATTCGGTATACGTAAGGTTTAAATTTTTTTTTTAAATGAAAGAGCTTTCCTCAAGATTTCAATTTAGCTTTAAATGAAAGCTAAATGATAAAATTTTCTTATATCCGGTAAGCAAAAAACTTAGGTTTATTTGAGACAGAAATTATATTGATTGGAATAGAGTTGCATTTCTTTTTCAGTAAAGTTGATCACGTCAGCCATTTTTTTTAGAAATTTATAAACAAATCTTATTTTTTCGTTTTAAAAATCTTGGAAAAATAAAATATATATTTCTGAAACGTTATTTTAGGAAAAGTAGCAAATTTTAAGTTGAGTTAATCTGATGTGAAACAAATATTACTTACTTCTAACATAAAATTTTGTATACTAACCACGAAATCTTGATTTTCTGACGTGGTAATCGATTTCTTTCCGGCGGATTGACCGCCGAGCGTGTTCATAATTATCTATGGGGTAGCTGACGACAATTTTCATTAGGGTTGTGTTCTTTTGTTTTTCTCGTAAGGGGTGGGGACAACCCTTAAAACACGTATTCTTTTATTAATTTTATTTATCTGTGTGTACATCCCTATATCAGAAATTCTGCATCGATACGTATATATAAAAAAACAAATCGAAATTCTTTTAAAAATATTTCCGGTCTTCAGATTGTAATAAGCTTTAAAATATGTGATTAGTAAGTATAGTTTTACTTAATAACAATATTCCTTAAAATATCTCATCAGAATTGAAATTTAAAAGATTTAAAACTTTATAAATTATTCAATTTTAAATTGTAAATAGATGTAAAAATTAATTTTTCATCGATTTTTTTTTTCTTCGGACAATATTGATTTTACTGTAGATTATTCATAAAAGCAATTATAGTATAGTTTTTTTTCTATTAGAGAGGTAAGCACATTTCTTAGAGTTGTTTGATGACCTATATGATATCATTGCATTCCTTATCAAACCAAGCTGGGCCGCGAGGAGTTGATTTTCATAAAACAATAAGAGCCTAGGTAATATATATTTATACATAGCATTGCCCACATACTTTTGTATAGCCAATATCTATGTCATGCATGGGCACGTTCGCATTCTGGCTATGAGACTCGGGTTCGGATTTTCACCATTGTCGGTTTGTCAGGAAGGAGTCTTCCTGATGTTATCGGACTGGAGAGGCCGATCCCAGCGTCCGGCATCTTTTGGAAAAGTGCCTGAAGAGCATACACAGTTTGACCCTTGGCAGTGAACCCTTGATAGCTGTGCTAGCACGAAGTCACAATCATCATGGCTGAAGGCTTGAGCGTCCTAGATAACACGCTCTTTCCCGGAAACTGTAACTAAAGTCTGCTCAGCATAGTTGTAGTATAAACAACAAATGTGCCTGAGCAAGCGTCTGCCATAGGGATTGGATATCCGCCCTAGTAGAAGGGTATCCTCGAATACGAGTCGTCAACTATACAAGATACCTTGAAGAACATTACAACGGATGGGTCATGCACTGGGCTAAGGATTTTTTAAGAATTTGAATAATATTGTAAACTCCACATTCAGTTTAGAATACA